AGGAGGGTGACCAAGATACGAACCAATGACTTCTGCTCTTTCGTACAACCAAAGAAGGTGTTGTGCTTACTATTGGCATGTGTTTATTTGCATGTGTTTGGTATTTATTATGAGAACCAACTTCACCTGGATCTGGTTGGCCACTGTTTAAGCAGAATAGATGGGCCTTTAAGCTGGCCTAGCTTTTATGCATGCCTCAGATGGACTGCTACCACTGCAAAATGTGACCTCACTTTAGTCCAGTCATTAAAACATGGTAAGGGAAACACTGGCCCTCCATATATTGTTGGACTACTACTCACATAATCATCTCTGGCCAGTGGTGAGGCTGACTGGGACTGATGGAAGCTGGAATCCAACAGCATCCATAGAGCCCCAGCCTGCCCACCTCTGCAGAAAGTATTTCAGAAGATTCTATTCTGCATGTGAGAAGGCCAAATTAACTTGGGGTGGAACTGAAGGCAGAAGAGGAGTCCTGTTCCAGACTTAGTCTGCCAATTACAGTACTCTAATTTCCAATCATCTAAATAATAATAAACCTCAGCAAGTGCCCAGCTGCCCTATTCTGTCCTCAAGACTATGGCTTCTAATAATAGGTTAGGGTCGGGTAGGGTCACTGATGTAACCGCAGAAGAAAAGTATTTTACAAATGTTTCCTTGCTGAAAACAAGGCTGTGATGGAAAACGTGCAGTGGGGCTGACTTCCTGCTAAAGTAGCCCTCAAATTAGGAGGCACATCTTGAGTGGGGGATTCTTTCCTTGTGTGGCACATTACATAATTTGCAGTATGTACAGAAATTTCAGAGTACTCCATTTATGTGAGTCTCACTCACTTTGGTGGCATTTCTGCAAGCTGATCTTGGTTTTGTTACTTTTCAGTAATGTCTTACTGTTGGCATCCAAGTAATTAAACAACCTTGGAAGGATTTGTATCATCAAAGGCCCGATATTTTATTTTTTTCAAAAAAACATGAGATACAGACAACTGAAATGAAAGGTTGTAAATATCTAGATGGCTCCCTGAGTGTAATTATGCATGAAACCAGCACATAATATGATAGCAATAATAGAAACTCAAGAGTATGAAGGGTTGTTATTTTAAGGAACAAAACAACTTTTGCCAACGGCTTTGGGCAGTAGTTGCCAGCATAGTGCTGTTCAGAATGATCAACTGTCAGGGGTGGGAGTTGCAGTCCAACAAACATCTGGTGGTCACCATGTTGGCCAGGCATAGGCAAACTCCAGCCCTCCAGAAGTCTGGGACTACAATTCCCATCATCCCTAGCTAACAGGACCAGTGGTCAGGGATGATGGGAATTGTAGTCCCAAGCATCTGGAGGGCCAGAGTTTGGCTATGCCTGATGTTGGCTATACCCCTGATTTAGGAAGTAAATTACAATCTGGACAGAGATTTGATTGTCTATTCCTGTCCTCTACTTCTGCACGCTTAAATATTATCTCTCCTTCACAATTCCTGCCCTTAAGAAACTAGAACAAAACTCATTGATACCCCCACCACGGTATATAACCAAATATATATCACCTAAATAATATGTATCTAATCACTGATTTTAACTTTTGGGGTACTTTGTGTAACTGGTGAAAACTGGATTCTATGGATTAGTCCCGGGGGGAGGGGAAACTTTTTTTTTTAAAAAAAGCAACAACAGAAAAGCACCTAACATCATCTTCAGTGCCACATCTGGCGAATCCCAACTTGAGAGAAAGGTGGGATATAAATGCATTAAATAATGTAAATGTTGGCTTATAGTGACCCTAGAGATTTCTCGTCACCTTTTGTTGCTTTGTTTGCTTACCCAGGGCCTTTTGAATGGTTTTGCTGAACTATTCCTGGCCTGCAGACACACTGTGCTTTGGGCACCTTGCTTGCTTCTACAATCAATATGTGGATTATACCAAAGGGGTTTGTTAGATCATTCTTTATCCTACAGCAAGACGCCCTGCCATGTGTTAAAATACCTGATGTAAGATGACTATAATTTAAAGGCAGCAGAAGCAATCTTGGCCTACAAGCTATGAGAAAATTTTAAAAGGATAATTTCCTGATGCGTTTAAGTGGACAATGAGATGGCAGAGATATGATTTTAGCAGCAAAAATGTGGACCCAGATGAGGAGAGCAGAATGCTACTTCCTTACCTCCTTGCATCTTCTTTCCCAAGTACTTTTGCTTTTGCTGAGCTACAAAACATCAAGTAACTTCAGTTGTGAGAGGTAAAGGGGCGGCACATCTCACCCATGTGTTCCTTTTGCTGTTAAAATCAGATGCACTTCCCACTATCTTAACGATATCAGAGTTCCATTTTTAAGTACACAAAACTACCATGGTCACATTGTAGCTTGTCCCTTAGTATTTCATTTCAGCAAACCCTTCAGTGGTTGTGAAAGGTGCTAATAAAATGCAGTTGGTCATAAGAACATTTCAGGATTTACGTAGCTTGCCAGAGAAAGCTGTTTATACCTCAAGGACATGTTTCTTTCTCAAGTTACAAAAGCAGATTGGTACAGGAAAACAAGCCAACCACCTATGACAAGCTCCGACTGGACAGAGTGTGTGTGTGTCATTTGACAAGTACTGGGATATCATGGAGTTATAAAAAGCAAGGCTAAAGAAGCAACCAATTGTAGTCTGATGCAGTATAAGAAAGCAAGCATGTCAGTCTGATTTTGTAATGACTGGAGGAGTGGATCTGGAGTGAGAGACACTGGGAACAAGTCTTATATGGCTTTGAATCTTATGGAAAATAAACACCGGGTAGAGATTTAAAGAAAGGATTATGGTTTCTTAGCAAAACAGAGAGGGGAACCAAGGTTTGTTTGTTTTTTATAATGAGTGGAGGGAAGGATGGATTCTCAGACAGCTCTATTTTAAAGCAGTGAATGAAAAACAAGGTAGGAAGAGATCATGTTGCAAATTATGGACAGTTAAGAGCAGATCAAAGTTTCAACCACAGAAGGATATTTCAAGAATATGGGTTGATATAAAATAAAATAGCAACAAAAAGCTTAATAAGAAGGGAAGAGACAGTAGTTAATCCTTTGTAGAAATTGCTAATGCTCACCCTGAAGTTTCACCTGTTGAATGTCTGCCCATCATAGGACTTTAAAGGAAAGGTGGAAGGGGGCAACCAAGCAAGGATTGTAAGGTTTGTGCTGAAAAAATGTTTACCATTGAGACATGTTCAGTAAGTGTCTTTGTGTGTGTGAAACCTAAGAGTAAATAATCTGTATCTAGAATAACTACCACCCACTAGTTCCCTAACTTTCATTACAATCCACTTCACCAACACCATAGTTTCTTACAGGCATGCACAGAAAGATAATGCCAAATAGGATGGTTAGTGGTTATTAAGGAGTCATCAGTTTACACTGTGATCTGGAATACACACCTTTAAAGGGCGAAAAAAGAGTCATTTCTAAATTGTGAATATTACGTATATTACCACTATGCTTCCCCCCCCCAAGATGACTTCAAAAGTGACTCCGTGATGTGGCACAGAAGAACCTTGCAACACAATCCTACATGTTTCTTCGGTGGGACTTACTCCCAGGTAAAAGTGTATAGGATAGCAGCCCCACTGTTCTTTAATGGGTGTGGATGTGCCCCCGTCAAATTTACCTGTGGGGTTGGGTCTGAGGGGAAGACTAGGAAGAATGAGTGGGAAAAACAACAGTAAGCAGTCTTGAAAGTAAGCAGGGAAAGACAGAAACTGTTTAGCAGGTAAAAGAGGGTGGCACGGCCCCTCTCTGATATTGGGTAAAAGATTATGGCTAACTTTAATGGCTAAGCCTTTGCCTCAATTTATGCCTTGTGAGTTTAGTTTAGTTTTTTAAATAAAGCATGTGGACTGCAGTGTCCTCTGATGCAAAAGAAGTAGCAGTACTCCTTTTAACTTTTTGTCACTGGTAGGGAAAACGGGGTCATACGACAATACGTTTCTCATCAAGGCCCATTTTATGGTACATGCAATTAAACAACATTATTGTTAAATTTATATCTCACCCTTCCTCCCAAAGGAGGCCAGGGCAAAACAAATACTTTGTTTTGTTTTGCTTTAGCTTAGGGAATCCATGCCCTTGGGGATGTATTTCCAGACAGCAGCTGGTCTGAAAACTATCCAGAGAAGGTTGGTTAAATCAATAAACAAACCACCTTAAGCGCTGGATGCATTAAAAAGAAGTTCCGAAACGGGCAACAAATGGAGCAGAAATGCCACCCAATGGGATAAAAACACAAGAGCTAGGATGCCCCAAGTTCTTCTAGGGTACCTAAGAGACGAGCCATTCCCAAGGCAACCCACCGAGTAATGGTGCCCTTTTCCCACCCGGCCAAGTCTCTTGTGCGTCTCAAACCTTGAGGAGGGGTAAAGCTGCACTTGTTGCCTTTTCTGCCTGCAAGCTAGATGCGCGCGTGCATTGTGTGTGGATACCACCGAGTCAGGAAAAGTGAGCCTCTATCACTTCCCTCTAAGAGCCCCTATCACTTCAACACGCTTAACAAGGGATGATCCCCGGGCTATGGAAAAAGAGGTCTCAAGAGTTCAAAACCTCGCGTTGAGAGCCCTGGAAATAGCCAGGAGGAGAAAGCGAGCCTGAGGGCGCCCAGGGCTGGTTGCGGGGGGGGGAGCCAAGGAAGGGCAGAAACAGCAGCTCTGGGTGGGTTAAGCGAAGTGAAGCAATCGGTGGGGCTGGAGAAGAGACCCCCCCCTTTTCGCTGCCCTCGGCGGAGAAGGGAATTAATTCACCATGGGGACGGGGAAGGAGCGAGCTGAGCAGGAGAGGAGGCGGCGGCGGCGGCGAACAAAGGCCGGTCCTACGCCGCCCACCCCCCGCCGCTGCCCCCTCGAGCGCGCCTTTTCCCACCCTACCGGCGCGGGAGAGGCGAGCTCCAGGCCGCGCGCTCTCGCCGCGAGCTCCTTCTCCTCCTCCTCCTCCTGCCGCTCGCCTTCCCCATCCGGTGTGCCGGCGGCCCCGCACTCACTTGTCGAGCCAGAAGGTCCACGGCGAGTGCAGCGGGATCCCCTCGCCGGCGTCGGGCTCCAGGCCGCTCAGCTGCTGCTGCGGGTCGGGGTCGAGGTCGGCCTCGTCGTCCGCCTGGTGCTGCTGCTGTGGCGCCGCCGCTGCCGGGCTCGGGGGCTCGGGCGGGCCCGGCTGCCTCTCGGGGGGGCTGAGCGCCATTGCCCTGCGCTTCCTTCGGCCCAGGCTGAGTCAGCGCCGCCTCGCTCGGCGAAAGCCCGCCTTGTTGCGTACACAGCCGGCGGGCAGCAGGGGGCCCTGCCCGCCCGCTGCAAATCTGGCACGCCGAGCGGGCAGGCCTCGCTCGCTCTGTCGCTGGCTGGGGGGGGATCTCGCCTATTTATAGCGCCTTTGGCTGAGCGGCGGCTCCCTGCCCCGAGCGGCTTGCAGTCTCCTCTCCCACCCATGTCTCCTCCATTCAATCTCGTCACAGTGGAGGGAGGCGCAGCTGGTCCTTTGAGCAGACCCCGGGGTGGATTTTTGTCACTCACTCTCTCTTCGCTGCCCGCTTTCTAACCGGCCATAAGTGAGTTTAAAACCAAGCCATTACAATAAATTGAATCTGGATGGGTGTTGGTTTTGTTCGAGAAGCTGGGCTTCGGATTCCACCTCGGCCTAAACTCAGCTGCCTTCATTGGGTTTGCCCCATTTACACCAGCTTTGTTAGATGGGCAGAGGCGCAGAAAATTATAGTGTGTACTTTGAGCATCCACAGTCGGCTGAGGTGGAATTTGAAGCCTCTTTGGACACATCTTAACACTTTCCACTGGCTCTTTTACCAGTCTATGAATGATATGCCTGTTCAAACATGTAATCTCTTTCACAGGCAGAATCATTGGACGTGATTCTGCTTCCCCACGTGCACATTCAAGCTCTACACATAATGTATGAAGAATTTGTGGTTTGTTTCAATCAGTGTCCTGTTCTTTTGTGCATGAATTGCACTTGCAGATTGTGAAGTGGCCACATTAGTTAGCAACAAGCACAAATGGTTGGACAGCGCACTATGACCTGTGTGGGGGAATCCTCAAGAGTTTGTTGGGGTTTTTTGCATATATACACACACACACAGTCATTTTGTATTAACTGGCTACTTTTCATCACTATTCAGTTGGAGCGTGATCCCTTTCTGCAAAAATTAAATTTAAAAAATGACCACATGGATTGAAAAAATAAGCCTCTTCCCACTGCCCCCCCCAAGTTATATGATTCCATTTTGAAGATAGAAGCTACACATGGATGCTTCCTGTGATCCTTTCTGTGTGATGCATGGACTTCTGAACACATGAGAAGTTTGAACTTCTACTACAGTAGTCCTCTGGCTTTTCTGTAAACGTCTCTGACCATCAGGTATATACTGACATAATCACACAGAGCCAGTGTGGAGCAATGACCAGAGATCACTTTGAAGTATGGGCGAGTTACTTTCGCTCAGCCTAACCTCTCACAGGACTATCATGGCTCAAATGCTAGTGTGTTCCACAGAGGAAGAGTAGATTCATAAATGTGATTATTACTTTTGGCATAGGGCCATTGTACTATCAGACAGTTTGTGCATACTGTATGTTCTTCAGATTTTGCAACAATTACTCCAGAGGAGATACAGCAAGACTTTTTAAAGATCTGGCAATCTCTAGTACCTACGTACTTAGTGTATGAATAGTCACTAATAACTGTATATAGTATTTATCTAGAGCTTTTAACTTCACTAACAGTACAGTACCTAGCAATGATGTGTCTCAGTTTTCCAGACAAAATGTTCAGTCTTATCTTTTTTGTGTTTCTTCTGTTAGTGTGTTACCAGCTTTGCTGCTGTTTGAGTGCCTTCAGAGAGTGTCTTGAAGAAAGCTACTCACGTCTATTCATTAAGGTGGACACTCTGCTGATTGGAATGGGGTGGAGGCAGGTTCAAGACAGCTTTGAAGGCAAATCCAGACTGAGCTCATCCCTTCTTTCAGTGGCAAGGCCCTCTCTGTTGGCTGCCTGGCTGTGATGTTGGGCCAGTCAAAAGCTGAATTTGCTGCTCTAGCATGTAGGAAGAGGCATGCCTCTCTTTCCTCCAGGTGTAAGAGTTCACTTTTACTACACCTGATTGAATAATCACTTTAGCTTTATCCATGAAAATACTTTGCACATAGTTTGTGGATTTTGGCCTTACATGTGTACTGCCAACAGGATCCCACGTGTTCTAACTCTTGTGCACCTGAGAATGCACATTTCAGTGAGGCCACAATGTGCCTGAAACTCTCTTGGGTAATGGAACAAAGAATAATGTAAGATGCTGAAAGGATATTGAGTGGTCTGAACGATTTTCTGCACACTGCTTCTCCAAATAGTCATCAACAAAACTATGTTTCCTTATGCAATATCTGGGAATCGATGCAAAAGGTCACAAACTGCGTATAAAAGAGACAAAGCATTTTACGAAAGAGGAAACAAACAAAATAATAATCTCATCATTTAAATGGAGAATTTTAATTGCTTCCCAATTGAATAAAATATTGAGCAGCAGTGGCATTACGCCTGCCTGTGTTTTTTTTTAAAAAATTAGTCATTTTCAAATAGAAGGCAGAAGATTGTGGTCACAAGGAACAATCTTGATTTCTGCATTTTGCTGTGCTGCCTGTGAGACTCTTGTTCTTTGACAATGATAGCTGCCTGGCATGCAAAGGTATAATTTTTATATTGTGCTCTGTCAAAATAACTAGATTGGTTTTGTATTTCCAGAAAGGGCAAAAGGAAAGAATTGACTTGAATGGCAAAAAAGAAAGGAAGGGCTGTCCCAAAGTGGTCTGCTTTTTGTTGTTTTCTTAGCCTTCCCCTCCAATATGTGGCTCTTTTAGGGTACTATTCTGTGATCTATTCTCTCCTATTAACCTACACTAGGCCGTAGTGTATAGGGGAGATTATAAGCTTGTTTTGGATAGTGGTCCTATTTGTGGCATTTTCTTTTGCTATGAGGTTGGACTGGCCGGAATTAGTTGTGACCTTTAATAAGAAATGCTCTCATTTGTGATTTCTGTTGTACTTTCAAGGTACAGAACACTTGATACCATCATTGTATATGTAACCCTCTGAGACAGGTCTAAATGATTAGCCGTCAGGGACATACAGTGCTGGTTGTTTGGCTAACATTAGCAATGGCTGAAGTGGATCACAGGGTATTCAGCAACAGAGCTTCTTTCTGCATAGAGAGCTTCATGGCTACCTTGTGGGAGATATTAGCTGTTGAGGGAGGAGGACTTGTTTAACCAATACAGTCCGTGGGTGAAGTTACCCCCTTTTTTCTACTCTGGACTGAATGGCCTTACAACCCTGCACAATCCTTAGACCAGAGCTCTCCAATCTTTTCATGCCAGTGACACACTTTTTAAACACGCATGACACAGTAATTCAGTTTTACTAGCAAACCAGAAGTTAAACTAACCCCTTTTACACGAGGCACCTACACACTGCAGCTGACACACTAATGTGTCACAACACACAGTTTGGAAAGCTCTGCTTTAGATGATAGAACGTATTATTTCACTTACTTCAGAATACAGTGGTACCTCAGGTTACATATGCTTCAGGTTACATACGCTTCAGGTTACAGACTCCGCTAACCCAGAAATAGTGATTCAGGTTAAGAACTTTGCTTCAGGATGAGAACAGAAATCGTGCTTTGGCGGCGTGGCAGCAGCAGGAGGCCCCATTAGCTAAAGTGGTGCTTCAGGCTAAGAACAGTTTCAGGTTAAGAATGGACCTCTGGAACGAATTAAATACTTAACCCATACTTAACTGTATGGTAACCCAGCCCTGCTGTTTCGGGGGCCTTTCTGTTCATTCTGTTGAGACTGGGGACCTCTGCTACAAAGCCCTGCCCATATGGCATCAATGGATACAGCTGACCCAATACAACATTTCCCATGTTTTGGGGAGGGCAGGAACCTGAAACATTAATTACTGCTAGAGACGGTGCACGGCTCGTTGACTGCACCGGCAGTGTAGTGGAAAGACATTTGTATATATGGACTTGTGGAAACAAGCGATAAGTCAAAAGCAAAGCCAGAACAAAAGAAGAGCATAAGAGTGATGTTGTAAACCAATATGCCTTATGCTGAAGATGACAGCCATTATTATGAAGATGAAAAAGTACATGTGTACGTACGTATCTATTGTATGTGTGCGTGCATGAGCATGTGTGTGTGTGTGCCAGAGTGTTTGTTTTGGTGAGGGCCTTCCCATCTAGGAAAAATTACATACCTGAGTTTTTCCAGTACTAGTTGTCATGGAAACAGAATGAGTTTTACTGATAATGGGTATATATAGGGTGCTTGCTGTGCTATGAAATAGGTTCTTTGTGCATTCTAATTGTAGGAGTTCATTAATAATAACATCTCTTACATAACCTTAGCCCTGCTAATATCCCCAACCTATTATTACAAAAGGTGAACAGAGTTATGTAATGTGCAGGGTGCACTGGACTCTCAAGAGTGAGCCAATCTGAAGCCCTTTCTAGCTCCAATAACTATGTAATGGAGTTTTATGTATCTCAGAGCAATTATTTAGCAGTACTGTACAGTGAGGCTTCCAAATCCATAGTGACTTTTTCAATGGCAACCAAATGCCTACAGCAGTGAATTGACTTAGATCCCTTTCCCATGAAGCTTAATATTCCAGAACCCTGGCTTAGAACTTTGGAGACTTTGATTTAGATATTAATGAGTAACCCACATGGCCACTTGCAAAATCCATTTAGTTCCAAAAAAGTCGATTCCAGGCTGTGTACTGGACCTAGACATCAGGTATTCAGAGGTAAATAGATAACTACGCTGTATCCGAAATGAGCTGCAAGATACATTTTCCCCCTGTTAAATTTGACCTATTAAGCATCTAACCTCTGGGTTTCTTCCTTTATTTTTATTACCATATTCACTCAAATTCTAAAATGTGTGTCCATTTTAGTAGACTAAAGGTGTTTAGTCTGAGAAAGAGGTTAGATTAGAAACCGAACTGGTATAAAACTGAGGCACATCTATTATGGCATTGTGGAGAAAGATAATGTTTAGGAGCTCAGATAACTCTTTGGTTTTTTTAACCAAGTTAAGCTATTTCTCCATTTTCTGCTTCAGCTAGTCACGGATAAGGCTCTTTCAGTAGATCTTAGTTCTTAATACCTTATTTCTGGTTCCTAGTTCCTTACTGAATAGTTTCTGCTTTCTTATTTAAGATCCATCCTACACACATTAGGAATGCTTATGCTCAATGAAATCAATTACTTGGGCTGCAATCATACTCAGGAGTTTGAACACTGAGACTTATTTCTGTTTCAACATGACTAGGATTTACTCTACATGGCATCCAGAATAAGACAGAAATGGATTTAGATGCAGCCTGTATATAAAACCCTTAAGATTTCAGCAGCTCTGGGCCCCAAATAATGTTCAGGCCACTCCAATCCATGGCACCACAATACTGTCCAACAGGAACTGCTCTGGTATGCCTAACCCAAAGCTTAATCTAGGAACAAACCAAGGCACAAGA